ATATTATACTTTAAATCATTCGCAAATTTTTATGAAAGTAAAAATTTGTAATCAATGTACGAAATGGATTTTGTATTTCTTTTAAATTTTTATTAGAATATATGTAAAATATTCATAAGTTTTAAGCATTTTATATTTTTAAAAGTTATATAAAGTAGTTACGTGCTAATTCTCATTAAATTATTAACAACTATGTTAGAAGGGCAATGTACAGTGCTTTTATTAACTTTTGATTTCCTGGTCGGATCTTCACGTTCTAGGACTCAATTTTAATGGTTCAATAGGGTGACTTCAAATATACTAATTAAGTAGTGCTGCCGATATTTAAGTTACAAAATCAGGCACAAAACTCTACTTTGTCTGAACAAACAAACCTTATTTTTGATGTATTCGGATTTTTGAATCCAAGATAGCGGGAGTGGCTGCAATCTTATAAATATGGTCCCAATAATTTGTTCATTAGAGCTCTTCAAAGCCTAGATGTTAATTTTACCTTCACTTTAATATTAGTTTTATTTTTTACGTATTTCGCCTTATCTCAAAAACTTATGAAATTTGTTTACCCAAAATTAATTCCTTTCTAAAGATAATATTAAATAAAGAAAAAGATAATAAGTGAATATTTATCACTTTATATTATTTTATTTAGAATTAGCAAAAAACATTTTGAACTGTACCATACGAATACAACTTTCATGCAACTCTGTATATACAACTTTTTACATCATTTTAGAGAAAGAAATTTTGCATGACAAAATAGAAAATTTGTTTAAATTAGGTTGAATAGTTCAAAAATATCGAATTTTAAATATACAACTATTTAAAATTCGGTTTCTCAGGAACTATTCGATTGATTTCACTCAAATTTTGTACTTTTTCACTTAAAAATACATTAATTAAATTTATGTAAAAAAATTTCCACCTTATCATTCAAGTATTTTTCGGCTATTATTTAATAAAATAATAGCCGAACTAAAATTATTTTTTTTTGCTAAATTAACTTCGTTGTAATTTTGTCTTAGAAAGATCTCGAGATATGGTGAAATATGCATAAAGTTAAATTCACATCAAGGGTCTAAATTTTGGACCACTCTTGACAAGGTTATTGGGACGACATTTCCCAGATTCTGTCGAAAAAAAGCTGCGTTTATTCAGCGAAATTATGTTTTTGTTTTATTGTACCTTAAACTATTGCCCTCACCAAATAAATAGCATATTTCAGGTTACCCCTTTGAATCACGACGATTGAGTTCTGGAACATAAATATACGATTTTTGGATCAAAAGTCATTCAGGTTGGACCGAATGCTTATTACGCACTGTACATATAACGCCTTCTTGGAAAATTTATACGCCTCGTTAAGCTTGTATTTTCGAAAAGAAATATATTTTATACTGGCATTAAAGATCATAATTTAATGCATCATTATATATCCTTTTTATGAAGATTTCAAAACTTGAAGTAGAACCGTTATCGCTCTCTCTGCTATCAAAGATTACGGATAACAAGAAAGTTCAGACTAATGATAAAAATTAAACCATGTATATGAATTTTAAAAGTTTCTTTTAATAGCACTACTCATATAAGCCAGTAACATTAAAGGATGTAAAATCGAAATAGCATTATAACCATACATTTATTTTTTAAATTCATGTTTCATTTCCCTTTATATTATTAAGGAATGTAAATTGTTTTATTTAATTTGAAAGTGTAATAAAAAACGAGAAATAACATTTTCTGAAATAATATCGCATTAATTTAGCT